AACTTGTTCTAAAATTTATTAGTGCTAAAAAGCCCATGAATGATGGTCAAATGATGATCGATTGATGAAACTTGTCCCAAAGTATTGTGAAACTGAACAAGAAAGAAATGCAAAATGGTGGAGTTTTAAGAGCCATATTACCACAATTATTTAAGATTTCATGACATTATTAATATCCGCATTATATGTATCATGTTGGCATCATTGCTTGAATAATACGTACACATAATTTGATGAATTAAACTTTGTTTGGACATGCATGGCACTATGAGAATCTAGGTTGTTGCATTTGCATCATTAAGAAGGCATTTGCATTTTTGGTCATAACATTCATTCATGCAAATTTTTGAGTCACTTGAAAAATAAATTGTGAATATTTTGATGAGAATTTTTGAGAACTCAAATGAGAATTTTTTAGTTTCAAAATGAGAATCTTTGAGGAGTGAAACACTAAAGTTCATCGAATGTGAATCTTCGAACAAATGAAAAGTTTTGAACTTTTGGATGTGAATCTCCAAAATGCAAAGCTTTAACTTTTTGGATATGAATTTCTAATGTTTTAAATGAGAACTTTTGAACTTAGATATGAAACTCTAAGTTTTATTGCATGTGAGCCTTTGAACTTAAATGAGAAGCTTTGAATTTTTAGATGTGAATCTCCAAAATTCGAATGAAAAGCTTTTGATTTTTGGATATGAATTCCAAGTTTACCAAATGAAAACCTTTGAAAAGCCTTGAACTTTTGGATGTGAATCTCTAAAATTCAAATAAGGATCTTTAAATGTTGGATGCGAGTCTTGCAAGTTGCAAATGCAAATCTTGAGATATTACAAATTTGAATGAAATTAAAATTTTAAGAATCAAATTTCAGTAAATTCTTACGAAGTTGAAAGATTCTTGCGAATCTGAACCTCTGAATGTTGAACTTAAATTGTGAATCCTTGAGTTCCCATTACAAAATTCCTTCAGTCATGATCTATAACTCCTTTGGACATGATTGTTAATGAGTAATTTATTTTTTTTCAAAGTTCTGTTGTTTCTGTTTAGAGGAGCAATTTATTTTTTAAAGTCGTGATGCCTCTGTTTAGAGGAGCAATTTATTTTTCAAAGTCATGGTGCCTCTGTTTAGATGAGTAATTTATTTTTTAAAGTTCTGTTGCCTCTATTCAGAGGAGCCATTTGATTTTTAAAAGTTCGTTGCCTCTATTCAGAGGAACAATTTATTTTTTTAAAGTTCATTGCCTCTATTCAGATGAGTCATTTATTTCCCCAAAGTTCATTGCCTCTATTCAAAGAAGCCATTTATTTTCTAAAGTTTTGTTGCCTTTGTTTAGAGGAGCTTTGTTTACTTTTTTAAAAAAAAAAAAAACATGAATTTGTTGGGATGATCATGTGCAGGGTGTTTACGTTTTTGCACAATTTATGTTTCACAAAAAATATGCAAAGAGTGACAGCTGTAGACACCCTAATTTGTCCGGACCTAGGCTTATTAGGCCTAGTTCAATAGGGGTTGGGCCTAAGCCCATTAGGCTTAACTTAGATCTAGTTTAAAAGGGCCAGATTGGCCCAGTTTTCTTATTTTTATTTTTTATTGGTTTATTATTCTAAATTTTATTATTTATTTATTTATTTTATTTTTAGGAGATAATATTTTAAAAAAAAGGAAAAAAATTGCAAATTCTACCGTGCATAGGCACTGGTAGAATTGCAATTGGTTTCAATTTCTTTGGGATCCTAGGTTTTCTGATAATGTGGAAACCCAATCAAAGGAGGATTCGAAACTGATCAGAAACTCTTTTGATCTGATCTTATAAATATAGACCCTAGCTAAGTTTGAGAACACATAGGAATTAGAGAGGAAAAAAAAACAAAGAGGTGAAACAGAAGCAAAAATTGTTTAGAGGCAGTATAGGATTTTTAGAAGTTTTTTTTAGAATTTTTGGAGCTCTTTTTCTAAAAAATTTTTGAAATTTTTTCAGAATCCGATAAAATTTTTCGATGAATTTTGAATTTTTCGACGAGTTTTTAAGCCAGATTTGAAGATTCTGACGACTTTTTCCAGATTTTGATAAGAATTCAACTGAAATTTGTAATTGTTTAGAGAGAAAAAAGAGAAAAAAAGGGAAGAGAGAGAAAAAGAGAAGGGAATTCTGAAAAAAAATCGATCTTCAGTCTTATATACCCTCTCCAAAATGACGTCGTTTTTGGGTTAGTAAACTCACAGGATCCGCGCGTTTTGTCAAGATCCGACCCGACCCGTAACGCACCCGAACCAGTGACCCGTTTCCCCATCTAGGTTTCAATCGAGTCGAGCCGAGCCAAGATCCCGAGCCGCGTATCTGAGCCATGATTTTTATCTTGAGTCGAGCCGTATCCCAAACCTGAGCCGAGCCATTTTTGGATTTTTTTTATTTTCTTATTTATTTTATTTAATTTATTTGTTTTACTTATGTTTTTTATTTTATCAAAATAAAATAATAAAAATAAATATTTTGAGAATAAATATTAATTATCTAATTATGAAATTTATAAAAATTTCAAATGAAAATTTTTATAAAATTCTTAGGTGAGAAATTTTGTCTAGATTTGTTCCAAATGGTGGAATAATATAGATAAAATTTCAATAACAATAGTTAATATTTATTTTTAAACAAAAAAAATTAAAAACATAAAAAGCATAAAAATATAAAAAAATTTTGGAATTCAATACAAATTATCCAAAGATGAGATTTTTAGAAATTTCAAATAGTAAATTCCTAAAAAATCTCTAGGTTAAAAATTTTCTCTAAATTTGACCCAAATAGTGGAATGATTTAGATGAAATTTTAATACAAATAATTGTATTCTTTTTCACATAAAAATTTAGATTGAAAATATTTGATAATTATCTAAAAATGAGATTCTTAGAAATTTCAAATGGTAAATTTTTAAGAAATCTCTAAGTGAAAAATTTTCTCTAAATTTGACCTAAATGGTGGAATAATTTTGGTGAAATTTCAATAAAAATAATTGTCATATTATTTTCTTTCCAAAGGAAAAAAGAGAAAAAGGAAATTTCTAAATAGACCAAAATGGTGAAAATTTTAGAAATTCAAAAGAAAAAATATTTCTAATTTGACCCAAATTGTGGAATAATTAGATTAATTTTCAAAATAAAAATAAAAATAAATAAATCATTTTTCGATGACAAAGCCTCTTCAAGAAATCGAATGAGATTCTTGAATACTCATAAGGTGATGAAGTATTTTTTAAGAGTTTTACCAGATTGATAGAGAATCTTAAAAATTATTTTCAATATTTAAAACCATTAGACTTCGAACTTTAGGATAAATTTGAAATAATATGGTACCATCCCTTGGATGGGCATGTGGGGGTGCTATAACATGTCTCATATGTAACCGAACTCCCGAACCCTGTATGGTTAATAGATCCGAATCTATTTTTTTAGGGACCTTTAGTCAAGTTTAGGAGTTTCTTAAAAGGATAGATTCTCTAAGTGACCAATCATACCTAATAAAATATTAGTGACGACTCCATTCATTTGTTAAATCTAGCTATAGATTTTTGAATCTATATGTTATGACACTCGGCTCGAACTCGATCGAGTTTCATTTTTCTAACTCGAGCTCGATTCGTGATCAAAATCGAGCTACTCGAGCTTGCTCGATTAAACTCGATTAATATGTAAAAATAAGCTCGATTCTTATACTCGATAAAAGCTCAATTATTTGTGCTCAAATTTGAACTCGAATTTGAAATATTTTATTAATTAAAATAATAAAAAAATTTTAAATATAAAAACTCGATTAGGCTCACGAGCTACTCGAGCCAGATATAAGAATACTCGAACTCGACTCGATCGATGAATCGAGTTACTCAAGCTCGAGCTCAACTCAATAATAATCGAACCAAATTTGAGTTTTATTCGAATCGAACCCGAGTAGCTTACGAGTACTAATGTATCATTTATATCCCTAGTTCAAACTGTAAAATATATATCAAGGTAAAATCATAAAATTACATAGTAGTATAAAAAAAAAAGAGAAATTATCAAATACATTGACAATATGAAATTTTTTAACTTTACAAATAGGATTAAGATAATGACATATATTCTTTATATATGTTTAAAAAAATTACTTTAAAAAAGAAATGAGACATGTGTCATCATCTTAACATTGCTTATGAAGACAAAAAAAAAATCCACTATTAGTGTTTCAAATAATTTCTTAAAAAAAAAATAATTAAAGCGTTGGTAATTATTTATGTTTATGTTTATATTTTATGCTTTTGCTATTCTTTTAATTAATTAATACATAATTAAAGTAGCAATCAAATAATCCTTGCTTTAACAATTTCTAGAAAACATATGATGTGTTTATAATTGATTCTAGTTGCAATCAATATTATTAATTAAAAAGTATTATAATGTTAAAAAAAATTATTTCATCCATCCTTATCAAGTTTTTAAATTCCATCAATGAATCAAAAATATAATACATATATCCCTTTAAAGTATATTAAATTTTTTTAAATTAATATAATAAAAATATACTTATCAATTTCTTTCTTAATCCACTAATGAAATTTAAAAATTCTATATATAGATAAATATAAAATTAACAGGACTCTATAATGTTTTACAATTTTTAATTACACCCCAAGCCATGCTTATGTCTCCTAATATCTCACACAAAACCCTCAATGATTAGTATCTAGAAATACCATAATTTTTCGCCACTAGCATTATAATATGTATTGCTCGTCCCACAACTCTAAGAATATATTCATTACATGTGCAGGCCATGCCATAGCATTTTCTAAATACCCATGACGCAAGATAACTTTATTTCAAGTTTTTTTATTTTTTCTTAATATCATATGAAGAAGAAAAAAAATAAAAAATGAAAATGAAAGGCCATCAATAACCAAAATCCACTCAAATGGGATATTAAAAGAAAAAAGAGATAGGAATCCAACGGTGGAGGGACAACCATCCGCGGAAACACGGAGCCGCTCGCGCCCAAGTCTTTGGAATCTAACCTCTTTCATTTCCCCCATCCCAACGAAAAGTACCCAACCACACCACACTCTCCCCTGTGAACGCACCCACCCACTACCAATCTAACCCAACACTTGAGTTTGATTTCAACCCTTTTTCCCTTTAAAACCCTCCTAAATCTCTCCCTCTGGTACATCCCCTCTCTCTGTGCCAACCCATTTCTATTTGGCCATTTTTATTTGCTTTCTTGTTTCTTGTAATCTTGGTAACAGTCAACTAGAGAGCCAGCCAGCCAACTCTGAGAAGTTTTGAGTGGGATTCATGCTAACATAGGGTTGAGCCATGAGTTGTAACGGGTGCCGAGTCTTACGAAAAGGATGCAGCGAGTCTTGTATTTTACGTCCTTGCCTGCAATGGATCGAGAGTCCTGAAGCGCAAGGCAACGCTACTGTTTTTGTTGCCAAGTTTTTTGGTCGTGCGGGGCTCATGTCTTTCATTTCCGCTGTTCCAGAATCTCAACGTCCTGGTATGGGGGCAGAGCTTCTTTTTTTTTTTTCATTCTTACCTTTTTGAGTTTTCATTTGATTGTAAATTCTAAGGTCTTTGTTATAAAACTTTCGATCAGCTTTATTCCAATCACTGTTGTTCGAAGCTTGTGGGAGAACAGTGAATCCTGTCAACGGAGCTGTTGGGCTTTTATGGACAGGAAACTGGCATGTTTGTCAAGCGGCAGTTGACACTGTCCTACGAGGGGGAGTTCTGCGGGCGATGCCTGAACTTGTGGCTCCGACACCAACATCCGATGAAGCATCCGAAGCTACATGTGCGAACATGTGGAAGTTGCAAGAAACAGCAACGAATCTGAACTCAAACTGTCGGTTTTCCAATTCAAGATCTAAGGTTTCACCTAAGCGTAAAAGAATTCAAGAATTCAAGAAATTACAGCCGTCCGATCTGGATCTTTGCTTGACTCCAAGCTTTACAGGAAAGCGAGTGCCGGATAACAGACGATCGGAGACTCCGTCTATGAACTCGGAGGAATCTGTCACAACAACGTGCTTCGAAAGTGGGTTTACAGATCAACAAGGACAAGAAGTAGGAGCAGATAAAAAGTTATTAAACTTGTTTGGTTGAAGAGAAAAAGAGCTTTTTCTAGTGAATCTAACGTTCAAATGATCTAGTTCGCTGTAATATTCTTCTTTTCTACCACAACCATTTCTTTTTTCTTTTGGTGAGATTTTAGATCATTTTTGGCCTATTTCTAGGAAGGGTTTTCCGGGAATGACTTTTCCGGCGAGTTTTTGTGAATTACCGGCACAGGATTTCTCTCTTTTTTCTTTTTAATGCGTTAAAACTGTGAAAGAGAGGAAAATGAGTTTGTCGGTGATCCTTAAAATCATCCTTTCTTTCTGTTACTTTCTTTGTAATCTTCTTCTTCTTCTTCATCATCTCTGTGTTTTGCCATGCCTGTATGACATGAATAAATCAAACTTATTTTTCTACAAATTTCTCAATTTATGATCTTGGATGCTATAGTTTTTGAAGAATTTTATTTGATTGGTCATAAAATGAGTATACCCTACTATATATCTAACCTGAATCATCATCCACTTCACCAACCATTGACAGAAGATACAGTAAAATATATATATTGGCAAATCAAACAATTTTAGTTGGAGAATAATTTGAAGTAGTTTTGCATCTTCAACCAGGTTTTTGATTGCTTAATACAACCCCAAAGTATCCTGTTCCTGTTTCCTAGCATTTGCTGTCAAATTAAAATTCATTAGTAGAATAAGAATATAATTCTTCATAAGAACAACCTCAAAAAGCTACATTAATGATCATATATAGTTGACAAATATTAATAATAGATATTAGAACAAAACTAATTCTTTGTTTAAAAAAAACTTTTTATTTATATACATAAGATCTAGTTAATTAAAAAAATATACCATATTCATGTTGATACAGTATTATAATTATATCATAATTTCATATATTACGCTAATTATAATATTATAATCTCTAACACTATGTTTAATTACATAATTACATTAATATTACATTAAAAATAAAGATGCAGATGTTAGAAATATAACACTTAATCCATATTTGTCTTAAAGCATCATTTTCTTACCCATTGTTTGAAAGATATTTCACCATTTGAGAAAAAATACATTAATGATCCAATGGCGCTAAGATGAGTTTTTTTAAGTGATAATATTTTACTTACAATAATTATACTATAATTAAAAAAATTTAAAATTATATAAAATCCACCAAATATTATATAAAGCTTACACTTATAAATAATGATATTTTAAATAATTCTTGATTTATCTAATTCTAGAGATTCTTCATTGTTTGACCCATCTATCCAAAGTATATCATAAATTTATGACGAGGCAAATACGTGGCAATGACTGGATGCCTCCATTTTCATTGGAGGAAAGCTGCAAAAAATGAAAGCAGCAAAAATGTTTCAGCAGAACCAACGTCTTACCTAAATCGCACTCATCATGTTTTAACTTTTAAGTCATCCATCCCACACCGATTTCTTCCATGGTCATTGGATCGTGTTCTCCACATTCCAAAACTAGCGCGTCTCCTTTATTCATTCGTCTTCTTCCAAATTCCAATTCCATATAAAAAAAGGCAAAAGACAAAAACACGCACTCATCCAATTTTTCTCCTCATAGTTATCCGCAACAAATATTAAAAAAAACAAACAGTGCCGAAATAACGAGTTGCTATGGCAAAGGCCAAAAGGAAAATTTGAAAATTTATTGTTTGGAAGAAATGGGCGTTCGGGAGATAAGTGACCCTTGAAATATATGAGAATATATCAAAGGAGTTTATATATACACATTGCACATTACTCAAATTCAAAATTTTAAATTATTAGATTTTTGAATTATTAAATTTTTGGTTGTTTCATGTATATATATAATTTTTTATTTTTTAATAATATGATATGAAATTTCTTATTTATATGTAAATTACTTCAATAAATTTTTTTGTTCATTTGTGAATTCGATTAGATTTTTCATACAAATAAATTTATTAACTTGTTTTAAGGTCAAATAATCTTGCATCTTTTATACGTCTTCAATTATATTGGTGCACTTTAAACTTAATACTCAATTTTATCTTTCTGTGGGTCTAGATTGTTTTAGTACCTTTTAAGTGTACATTCAATCACGAGTTGATTCAATACATTATCTTGTTGGATCTTTTATGTATCATCATATTCATTATGTTTAAATTGAATCTTTGACTCTAATATCAATTATTAAGGAGATAAGTTATAAAAACCCATAAGAGTATATTAAAAGAGCTTATACATATATATTAAACAACACTTAATATCAATTATTGATGAGATAAATTATATTTAAAATTTATAATAATACACCAAAAAAATTTATACATACATATTGGACAATATTTAAATTCAAAAACTTAAGTTATTAGATTTTTGAGTCTTTCGTGTATATATTGCACATTTTTTTTCCTTCCTTAAATGATATGAGATTTTTTATTAATATATGAACCACATTAACAAGATAGACTTTTGGCATTAAAAAAATGCTTGATTCCGATAAGCATTTTACTTATAATTTTTTATTATAATCTTATAATTATTCAATCATAATAAAAAATTATGTAAAACTCTATTACTAACAAATATGAATTTTGTGTAAAATTTTAAAAAAATTTAAATTATAATTAATTATATTATAATAATTATATACGATATACATATTTTTACTATAGTGGCTTTTCGAGAGTGCAAATGGGTTGGGAAAGTGCAATTAAGGATGTCAACGGATAAGATATAAATAAGGTAAAGTATTATTCATCCCCATATTTTAATTTTTATATTATATCCATTTATATATTCATACCCAACAAATATTTTAAATTTATTATCATCTTAATTTTCATGAATATTTAATGGGTATATATAATCCTCATATCTTTAACTTTAAAAAAATAAAATAAAATTTTTAACTTTTTTTTTGTTTTTATCTCGTATATTTAGGTTTTTTTTTTATAATTATATATATTAATATATTATCCATCTTCATCTTCATATCTAATAAAATTTTAAAATTATATCTATTTTTATATTTATACCTATAATATGATAACTATTTTTATCTATATTTGAATTAAAAATTAAATTTCTCATTAAATATAAATAAAATTTATATCCTTAAGTGATATTTGGAATGAATCATAATATATATATATATATATATATATATGCTATTTGTGGGGTCAGGCAAGGGGTATAGAGTGCGACCTATAAAAGTTTCCTGTTTTTCCGTCTAATTCACCCAATAGGATGCCAATGGTACGGTCACGTTATTGTCGGCTTGGGCGGTCATTTGCTTTTTTTTTTTTTTTTTTCTTACTTTATTGCAAATTCATCTGTTATAGATATATATATATATATATATATATATCCTTATCACTTATAGCCTCATATATAAAAAATATGGATGATTTTATCATTTATAAGTTATTATGCATTTTAGTTGTGATTTAATTTAGATAACTGAAAAAAAAAATAAAGATTTAAAGTTTTATTAATTTTATATCCGTGCCTTGCACGATACTTTTAGTTAATTTTATAAAATTTTAATTTATTAAGTTAAATGAGCTTATCATTTTTAAAGAAATACCTTTAAAAATCATTAAAAATTATGAATTTTAAATAAAACATATTAATAAAGAAATGAAATAATAATATTTATTATTATCAAACAATAAACGAGTTATAAATAAATTTTTAATCAATCTATAAATAATCTTATAAATGAGTAATAAATCATTTTGTTCATTAATATAAACGAAATAATTACAATTTGTTTGAGATAAGCTTTTTTACAAAATTAACTTTAAATATTTGTTTAAAATAACTTATTTAGTTTAATAAATAAAAATAAACGAATAAAAATAAAATTCATTTACGAATTATTTATTGAACATTTAATTCATGTACAACTTTTTTTTTTTGACAGCCAAAAATAAATAAAACGAAAATAGTGTCTTTTTCCTTTTATCTAACCTATTATATCTATATTTATTTTTAAGCTTGAATCTAAGACTTTTAAAAGGATTATTATATATGAAGATCTTTTAACTTGAAAGTGGAAATATATAAAAGATTTATGTTTGATGTATTATTAGTATATATATATATATATTTATATACTATTAATAAACTAAATAATATCATTTCATTAATAAAATAAATCAGATAATAATATTTTATTAATGAGTAAAATTTTTAAAAAATATTAATTTTTATATATTTATTTTAAATATCAATATTTATTCATTAATAAGATGAGATAATCTGATTTATTGATTGTATATAAAATTTATATATTGATTGAGTATTAAATATAAACTGAAATATAAATTCTTTAAAAATTCTAGATTCAACCAAGAAATAGGGCCTTCAATTCAAGGTAAAAAGCCCAAAAAAAATAGGAAGATAGGCCATTGCAAATGATCTTATCCAAACATTTAAACAAAATTCAGGGCTAATAGTGTATTTGGGCTGAGTCCAACCCCCCCCCCCCCCCAATTGTTTATGTGCCGCAGCCAAGATTTTATTATTTTTAAATCGAATCGAAAGGCCTAAAAACACAACAAATTTTTAAAGACTTCAATGAAAGCAACAAAAAGTGGCATCAAGTTGCTTGCTTTACCAGACGTCTTGACGTAGGATAACAGTACTAGATGTGTAATCGAGTCAAGTTAATATAGTAAAATATTTGAGTTTGAGTTTGACTCACAATTAATGATTTGATATTCGATTTAAACTTGATTGAGTTTTATTTTTCAAGTTCGAGTTCAATTTATGATCGTATTCGAATTACTCGATTAAACTCGATTAATATGTAAAAATAAATTCGATTTGTATATTTGATAAGAGTTCGTTTATTTATGCTCGAACTCGAATTCAAAATATTTTATTAATTAAAATAATAAAAATATATTTAAATATAAATGTTTGATTAAATTTACGAGCTACTCGAGCCGGATATAAAAATACTCAAATTTAACTCGATCGATATGTTAAGCTACTCGAGCTCGAGTTCGACTCGATAATAATTGAATCGAATTCGAGTTTTCTTCGAATCAAACCCGAATAACTTACAAGTACTAATATATCATTTACACCCCATAGTACCAATAGTAGGTTCCCTTATTCATTTATTTTTGTCAAGCAAATTCTTAATGCTAAACAACAACAAATTTTTTTTATTATTTTATAAAAAAAACTGTAATATGAGGATAAGAGAATAAATTACATATATTGAGATTTAAATTTTAATATAGAATATCATATCTTAAAGATAATTGATTGAACTAATTGGATTATTATTTTTTTTTGCTTTAATAACATAGATTTGTTCTTTTATTGTTTTGTTATTGTGGTAAAATCTCTACCACATTCATTAATGATGTTTGTTGATTAGAAATATTTTTGCTATTTAATTTTACTTTTATTTTAGATATATAATAATTTTTTATAAAAATGAAAAAAAATTATGTAAATACAAAAGAACACAAATAGTAAGGATTGGTAGCACGTTAGAGCCTTAGTATAATTTTGATGGGAATAAGAAATGCACATACTATATATAAGTATAAATCAAATCATTAAGGAAATTTGATTACAATTTAACTAGCTACATTAATCCAAACCCTTGGACTACAAGAAGAAGAAAAAAAATAAAGAATTTCATCTAATCATATATTCATATATATATATATATATTTATATGCCTACACGCTTTGGAAATCACTTGCATCATCGATCAGTACTTCAAAATAATTGATCAGAGCGGAGCTGCTGAGAAGCCTTGGAAAGGTACAAAATTCTTCTTCTCTGCACAAACGACAAAGCATTTTCTTATATACTACTATTATAAAAGTACTTTACCCACAAATATTTTTGAAATATTTTGAAATTTAGCCTCAAATATTTTGAAATTTAGCCATAATCACGTAGTTTGTTAATAGAATATTGATTTTTAATTTTAAAGTTCAAAGTGCAATCCTTGACAACTTCCAAATGCGTTTTCCCTTTTTTTCCACTTTGATTCTCATTTTTCAAACATGTTTGATTCTCAGTTTTCTCGAGCAGCTGGCCATTTTCAACCTTCCCCGGACCCCAACACTTCATTTTTAATAAAGGCTATAATAAGCTATTGATCAGTACCATGTAGCAAAGCACAATTAAGCTAATTTGGATTATAGTCTTAAGTTTTAACATTTGATTCTTCTAGCTTAGGTGTTAATCTTTAGGGTTTTGGTTTTTAATGGCGTATAGCAAAGGTAAACGACATGCTTAATTATTTAGGCAAAGCCTTATGATCTGAATTAAAAAACGGATAATACAATGCCAAAAGTAATGCATACGACATTGTAAGTGAACAAAAGCCTCAAGGCAACATGCTCAAATAATAATTTTTGTATATGATAAGAACTGTATACCTACCTGTTATTCTCTGCCACAATTTTCTAATCCTTAATTTTTTTTTTTTTATAATAAAAGAATGCTGGTTTTTCACATTTAGTAGTAGCCTCAATTAATCTCAAAACTATTGGATATATGATGTGTGATTAAATTTTTTAATATCCATCTAGCAGAAAAGCCCAAGCTTCCCTGAGTAATGATTGGGTGGATCTGGCTTAATACTGAACAAGTCGATTAATCAAAATTCTCTAGTCCAAAAGTTAGCACATAGAACAAGTTGATTAGTCAAAGTTCTTTAGATCAAATCTGTTAAAATTTGGATTTTACGCGGTCTTATATCAAAGTTAAACCCCTTTGCTTGTTTTTAATCGATTTTAGATTAAATACTTAATATCATATCAGAGTTTAAGTTTTGATTTATTATTCTTGTATGTTATTGTTATCTCTTTCAAGTTTGTCGCAGGATAGACTTTTATTTCTATCTACATAGGATCATATTAAAGAGGTATTATCCAATATCTATTAAATCTTCAATTTTTTATAACTTTATATTTAAATTGGATTCTTTCATCTATTATCAATTGATTTTACGTTAAATGTTTAATATAGGAACATTGTCCTTTAAAATTTTTTTTGTAGCTCAACATTGGAAGTTGGTGTTTGTATGTCTTTGGCTTCCATATTTTTTGGGTAAGTTCCTCAATATCTTTAGAAATTTATATAATACTGTGCTAAGTGTGCTTAAAATTTCATTAATTTACTACAAAAACAAATGTTTTATCAGTTGGGGTATCTTAAAGCACATGGTTTCATTCCTTACTTTCATGCTTGCTATTTTGTTTTATATGTTGTCTTACTGACTGCAAAAACAAAGACTACCATGGGATGTCTGAGAATTCCCTTTGGAAAAAATTCCAATAAAAAAATGCCCTGAAATTTTTTCTTTGGCCCACATGTCTTCTAGTCCTTGTATCTCAAAGTTTAGGAAACCTGATAAAAAATCTCTCAGATTTATATTTAAACCTCAATTCCTTAACTTATATGATTCTCCCTATATGCTTCCCTCATATTCTTCTTATACTCTTCTTTAGCTGCATGCATTTCGATAACTTGTAAAGGATTATAAAAAAGGTTGGATTGTTATAGTAATATATACAAAGGGAAAAAAGGTGCAGCAAAAAGTTTGTCAGCTTTCTTTTGATTCTCTCCTTAGTCTAGATTTAGTAATTTATATATTTATATCATAGTTTTTTGTGTCAAGTAACACGAAATTTACAGTTTTATAAATCATGTTAACTAATCAAATATGAAAAATATTTTTTAATATTTACGAAACTCATACAATTTTTATTAAAAATTTAAATCTGTGTGGTTTTGTATATATATTTTTTTATCGTTCTCAAATCATTGAGTGGTAAGTAGAAATTATAAGTAAGAAATTATCCTATATATGGTATTGTTGAATGTTGATGTTTCATGGTTAAGCTGAGGCAAGTTTCCTAAATTTCAAACATTTAATGCAGATAAGGTCCAAAAAAATTTTGTAGGGCTGGAAGGAAGTTGGTGAACATAAGGCAATTAGTGATATGAGGTGGTGAGGACAGAGGGAGGTGTCCCTTTTTCCTGGGTGGCATGATCGAGTAGTCTATTTAAGGTGGGGTTGGGGCTGCGAGGAAACCAGTCCTTCATCAAGGGAACAAAAGGAACTAGATCACGTGTGAGTTTCAGAAGGGTCAATTTCTAAGTATAGAGATGAAACAAAAAGATTTTTGGACCCTTTCTCAAAGGATGTGTGCTCCTGCCTGCCTGCCATTTCCTCTTTAATTACAAAACAATTCTTTTAAAATTTCAAATTTTAAAAAAATTCTTTTGGGTATCCAAAACTGGTCCTTGATAAGATCTCTTACAAATTTTGATTCGAAAGTTGCAGCTGGCAGCAGAGAAAGAGAGAGAGAGAGCAAAGGGTTGGAGAATGTTGGAAGCATGTTTTGGTGTAACCTAGAGAGCATTAATGTTGTGTGGGGTTTAATTTATTAATTGCTAAAGCCTAAAAAAGTATGTATGTCTTCCCTAGATATCAATGTGTGTGGGATAGCATCTGCATGTAATTAATAAAACTTAAAAAGAAGTGTTACATTAGATCTTATGCCAAACATTATTAGAATGGGAAATTGGAAGGAGACAAATGGTAATATCAGGACTAGCAAACTCATTGTCTTTTTCATGTGAGAGAGAGCTATTTTTTTTTCTTTTGATTTTGAATTAAACATTAAGATTAAAGGAAGGAGGATTTGAATTTTAAGCATCTTTTGCAAAAAATAAAAAAAACTATTAATCAAATTACATTGCAAGTAATTTTGATTATCGTTTCATATATGGATTATGTATTTGAGATTAGTGCCAACTAAAAATTACTAATAAGAGTCAAATTCAAAATCTCTTTTGTTAAAATGAATAAATTTATTGATTGAGATTGAGTCTAACTCTTGTTATTGATTAATTTTTTATCTTTTGTAATTTATCTCATAAAGCTTGCTCTTGTATATAAGCTATTACTAGGATTTTCACTGTAAATGATGAAGAGAGAGAAAGAGAGGACAAAAATAATGGAAGAGAAGCAACTTTCATATGGAATTGACAGTGACCATTCCTTTATTGAATTTGTCTCACAAGAACATGCAGTTGTTTTGGCTGCCAAAAGTCTTTTGAGGGACCCCTACTACATTCTCACACCAAAAACACTGAAAATCAATGGACTCCATCAATCAATAATTCTTGTGATATTACTGTCCTTACAACTGAATCCCACCTAGATGGAGAAATGAAACAGTACTATATAGGTGTTTAGCTAATTTGAAAGACATGAGAAAAAAATAAAATTCAGATAGGCAAAAAGGAAAAGAAGAAAAAGAAGAGAACATGAAAGACCTGCATAAAAATGATTTCTTCATGATATGAGCAAGTTAATATCATATGGCCTGATGACTGCCCTCAATCCTCATTACATGACAAAATCCCAACTCCCACATATAGACAATCCCCTGGCCGGCTATCCTCACATGCCACCAAAATCCATACAGTAGCAGCCCACCCTCTTCCTTTCCTTTATATTATCCCTCTCTGTCAATCTCTCTTTCTTTGATTGTAGTAGTAGAGAGAAAAAAAAAGGCAGAAAAGGGAATTCAGAATAAGGGGGTTAGACCCTTTTGTAGCCAAGAAAAAGGTTGTTTTGAATCAGTGTTTTTCTGTTGCATCATTGGAGCCCCTATCCTTTAGCAGATGAAAAGGAAGGGTCTCTTTTTGCCAATTTGACTTCAACCAATATATTTTCTTTGGGATGAGAGTTTACTCCTCTTTGAGCAGTCCCTTTTAATTTTCCTTAGGAAGAAAAGAAAATCCTCACAAAAGCTGAACTGTCAATTTTCTGTGATTCGTTTGCAGAATTCTCCCAAACTGTACTATTAACTTGGAGGTTTTTCACTCTTTCACCATGACTGTGTGGATCGTTTCCCAATGACAAGGTACACACTGTTAGTCTGGTCTTTTTCTATCTTTCTGCTATCTTCTGATTTCTGAAACTTATTTGTTACTACTTTTATTTCCTGTGCTGTATTCTCAATTTGGAACTCTTTCTCTCTTACTCCCCATGATGCAATTCACTGAAAGCCCATCACAACCCTCGCACCAAATCACTTCATTTTCAATTCCCACAATGAACAAAAATCAAATTCACCGGGCTCGTCCATGGCTTGGATTCCCTACCTCAAAGGGTTTAGGTAGCTTTGGTGATGCCAATTGCATGGAACAACTTTTAGTCCACTGTGCAAACGCAATAGAAAGCAATGATGCCACTCTAACGCAGCAAATTCTTTGGGTTCTAAACAACATTGCACCACCAGATGGTGACTCTAATCAGCGCTTAACGGGTGCTTTTCTTCGAGCTCTTATTGTCCGAGCAGCCAAAAGCGGCACTTGCAAAATGCTTGCAGCAATGGCAAATGCTCGTTGCAACCTTTCTATAGACTTCCACACTTTCTCTGTCATCGAGCTGGCTAGCTTTGTGGACTTAACCCCGTGGCATCGGTTCGGTTTCACCGCAGCAAATGCAGCAATACTAGAAGCTGTTGAAGGGTATTCGGTCGTTCACATTGTTGATTTAAGCTTGACACATTGCATGCAAATTCCTACATTAATTGATGCCATCGCTAATAGGCTCGAGGGACCTCCACTGGTGAAACTTACAGTTGCTGGTGGTGTCACTGAAGATATCCCCCCATTGCTTGATCTTACTTATGAAGAGTTAGGCTCCAAGTTGGTTAACTTCGCTAGGTCGCGCAATATAATGTTGGAATTCAGGGTGGTTCCTTCAAGTTATGCTGATGGATTCACCTCTTTGATCGAACAGCTTCGTGTTCAACATTTAGTATATGCGGAAAGTGGTGAGGCTCTAGTTATAAACTGTCACATGATGCTTCACTATATACCAGAAGAAACTTTGTCTCCTCTTCCTAATCCAAATTCAAACCCTTACTCTTTCGAACCATCTTCTATTCAATCTCTTCGAACCATGTTTCTTAAGGCTCTTCGTGGACTAGACCCAACAGTTGTTGTTCTAGTAGATGAGGATGCGGATTTGACATCAAATAATTTGGTATGTAGATTAAGGTCTGCTTTCAATTACCTATGGATACCATACGATACCGTGGATACATTTCTTCCTCAAGGAAGCAAGCAAAGGCAGTGGTACGAAGCAGATATTTGTTGGAAGATAGAGAATGTGATAGCTCATGAAGGTCTGCAGAGGGTCGAAAGGCTTGAACCAAAGAGCAGGTGGGTGCAGCGGATGCGGAGCGCCAATTTTAGGGGGATTAGTTTTGGTGAAGATGCAGTTTCAGAAGTGAAAACAATGCTTGATGAGCATGCAGCTGGATGGGGGTTAAAGAAAGAAGAAGACGATCTTGTACTTACTTGGAAAGGACATAATGTTGTATTTGCCACTGCTTGGATGCCTGTTTGAAGCTTTGTTTTTTCTTTCTTTTCCAGAAGCCTATAATCTAATCAAAATTTTCTTGCATTAGTCTCTAATTTTATTCTAATTTGCTATCATTCGACTACTAGTAGTAGTATTAGTCTTTCTTGAAGTGTGTGTGGGAGCTAATATTTGTATCGAGGGTACTAGTGAAATTAATTGTTGATTTGTCTGATATTTTCTCATGTATAACTTCTTTAGTTGTAATAACCTTAATTAAGAATCTATTGGCTGTATTATTTTCTCTTTGTGTCTGGTCTCAAAACACATTCAAATTGTGAACATTATATATATATATATATATATATGTTGAATGGTGGCATTATTTCCTTAATTAATTTGTATCCATGAAGTGATGATCAGATAGTTACTTTCTTCTTCCTTAAAATCATATGGAACACACGTCTTAGTTTAAAGCTGCAAATAGATGTGAGGAAGTATTACAAACGATTTAATAAATATATATAATTTAATTGAGTATTAATTCAGATGAAATGATTTATCACGAGATTTTGAAAGATTATAAATTCGAAAACTCATAAATATAATATTTTTGTTTCAAATGAAGTAAATAGATTGAAGTGAAAATCAAACATAAATTAAAAATTTTTAAAAATTAAACATAGATGCCGATTTCATTAATTTGAATTTAGAATTTTTATTTAGAAGATTTTAATTAAACTTGTATATCAAAGGAGTTTTTTTTGTTGTGCATATATATATATATATAATATATATATATATATATAAAGCAAAAGTCATGCATAAATTTTGACATTCTTGTCCTTTCAATCTTATATATATTCTACAATATACGGAAAGTTCTACGGAAAGCTAAGTTTTTTTTTTTTTTTTAATTTAGAAGTAAATAAAATTATATTATTTTCAAGATTAGAATAACTAGTTAATTTTAAAAGAGATTTATGAATTTTTTAATTTTTTTTAATTTACAAAATACTTATTAATAAATGATCTTAAAAATTCAAATGTAAATGCTTTTACACTCAAATTTTACATCTTAACCACTTACATCAATTTCTATTTACTGATTTCCAAAAGTCTTTTCACTGTTTACCAGCCGGTTAATAAGTAAAAGGAAAAGTCAAAGAGAATTTGATTATGATATCTAGCATATTCTAATATTTGTACTTTATATATTTTTAAAAGTAATTAAATATCTGCAATATTTTTTTATTTTCTGATTTTTTGTAAAAAAATTAATATGAAATATAAATTTTTAGTAATAAAAATGTTATAAAAATGTGTTATTGTGTTGAAAGATAAATAAAAACATAATAAAGATATTTAAACTTTTTTCATAATTTAAGAAAAGTCGTGTTTAAATGATTTTAAAAAATAATTTTGATAATAAAAATAAATTGTACCTTTTTGAAGTATAAATATAGTATTATATCTCATAAATTATTCTTTTATGTTAAAATTTATAATTCCTTCTTATCGAATTACTCATTTTGTTATTATAAATAACATAAAATATAAAATAATTAGATTATTTATTAAATTATAGTATATTTAATAATCTAACAAAAATACAATTTATTGTTTTTTTTAATCTATTTTTATCATTCTAATTATCTACTTTTGGCACTCTAGCTTGAAATAAGCTCATCATATAATAAAATACTCCTTTTGTCTTTTTTTTTTTTTTGGAATGATACTGATTTTTATGGAATTAAAAAAATTTTAATTTTAATGTATTTAATATTAAAATTAAAATTGTATAATTTTTAATATAAAAAAGTAAAAACGATCATAAAAATAATTTTAAAATATTAAAAAAAGACAAATTTTATAAGATCTCAAAAAAAAAAAAGGACCAAAAAATAGATAGAATGAGTAATTTTGCAGCCAACAAAACATGATTTGATTGTTTTAAATTAAACTAGATTTGAAATTTTCTTTTTATTTTTTCTTTCAGTCTTTAGCAATTCTTAAATAAAAATTTCTTTTTTTGAAAAAAATTAAGGATAATTCTTAAACATTTAATAATAAAATAAAAATAAAAATTTAATTTAATTTAAAAAAAATTGTACATTTTCAAATATAAAATATATAAGAGAGTGAAAGAATTATAAATTTATTCTAACATATCCGACTCACTAACAGCCTCATCTCTGACCAAATTGCTACTCCAACTTCTGGAATTAGTTTTTTTTCCTTTTTTTATTGCCCTTTCCCGGAAACAGCGTAAAATTTTGAACACTTTTTCGAAGGAACAGGATTTTTGGTGGGCGGTAAGACTGAAACCCCCGAACAAATCTTAAGTACGCAAAAACTCAAACGTTGATTGGACGAACCGAACACACAGACACACAAACGGACAAAAATAATAATAATAATAACAAGGCTAACCAGCTAAGCAGTTTAGGATTGCTTTAAAAAAAAACACGTGTTCGTTTGACTTGATGACCCAAAAGAAGCTTCCAACAAGAAATCTTGCTTGCTTATTGCCCTAATCTCTTTTGTCTCTACTTTCTCAAGTTTCGAATGGAAAAACGATGATTATTGTTTTGCTCTAAATTTAGTTCAACTCAATTGAATTCAGAAACATAGTTCGTTAATTCAGGTTATTTTTTCTTTCTTTCTATTTTAGTTTTTTTTTCCCTTACTTCTGACTGTTTTGCTTTCTGGGTTTTTGTTTTGTTGGGTTTTATGAATAAAGCTGGAAGTTTTAGTGTTTGGAATTAATTCATGTTTTATTTTAAGTTGGTAGGTTTAAATTTTGAATATTTGTGGGTCTGGGTTTCTCTTTAATTTGTGGTTTTTGATTGATTTATTAATTAAATGAAGTTAATTTATTGTTTAGTGTAGGTTATCTATCTATCTGGATATTGTCCATTTTGTTTGAATTTCAGTAACTTTGGGTGATTTCTTTAGGAACTGTTTGACTTTGATCACCATGTTGACTTGGTATGTTAATAGATGACATTAGGGTTTTTGGTGATTTTGATTGAGAATTGAGTTGATTTTAATCTGGATATTGATGGTTTTCCTTTTTTGGCTGAAATTTTAGATTTTGAATGATAGTGAGGAACTTGGAAACTGAAATGCCTGGTCGTCGGCTTTTTTCTCGAATAGATACTTTAGAGCTGAAATCTTTGATTGAAAGGAAGATTGGGCGTATAAAAGCGGAGAAGTACTTCAATCTGCTCACTAGATTTTTGAGTCTTAAGATTGCCAAACCTGAGTTTGATAGGCTTTGCATTGGTACAATAGGGAGAGAAAATGTTCGAATTCATAATCATCTCCTCAGATCAGTTGTTAGAAATGCTTCACTTTCGAAGACTCCCCCACTGAGAGAGAACAAATTGGAAGGTTCTTTAAGTGTTAAAGTGGCAAATGGGTATCAAAGAAGTAATCTGCAGTCACTGTGTAAAGACTTTCCTCAATCCCCTCATAAGGGCAGGACTCCAAATCTTCGTGATTGCAAGTTCAGGGACCGTCTGAGTCCTTTAGGGCCTCATGGGAAGAGCCATGGTACAGCTTGTGAAGATGCTGTTCTTAAAGCTCAAGAACAGCAGAGTGCTACTGAGTTGCTTTCTTTGGGTAGCAGACCACCTGGTTCTGTGGAGGATGGAGAAGAGGTTGATCAAGCTGCAGGGAGTCCAAGCATTCACAGTAGGAGTCCTGTTAGAGCTCCACTTGGCATATCTTTGAATGCTAAAGGAATGCGAAAAGTGCCATGGAATGGATTGCCATCTGCTTCTGAGACTTGTCATTTCAGGGGTGAGCTACCTGATAGTGGTTCTTTGAGGAAGAGGTTGGAACAGAAGTTGGAGATGGAGGGATTAAACATCTCAGTAGATTGTGCCAATTTGTTGAACAATAGCCTTGACATTTTCATGAAGAGATTGATAAAACCCTGTTTGGAACTGGCTGGTTCAAGGTCTGGACAGAAACTTATTGACCAAGCTCATAATTGGTCCATGGCCTCTTTAAATGGGATGCAGCCTGTGAGATGTGCACAAAAACAAAGTGGGTCCATTTCAGCATCAATGTTAGACTTTCGAGTTGCGATGGAGCTAAATCCCCTGATTCTTGGAGTAGGCTGGCCAATACAACTTGAGAAGGTGTGCCTGCTTGCTTCAGAAGAGTGAACCAGAATTGGTTGTCCCAATGATTTGGGTTGGACCATATTCCGGCCATAGCAATTTTGAGATATTTCAATCATAAAGTCCAATCTAACATTGATCTTTATCATACCATTTTTATAGAACAGATGAAGTGAATAAGTATAAAGGCTACAGGAATTTTGGATCAAGCAGATAAGATTGTATATAGGTCATGGCCCTGATTTATCCTGGAGATGTGACATCTTAACATGATGAAGTCCAACTATATTGACATTTTTTAAGAATCTATCTGTTACAAATAGGTTAGCAGCCATCCCACCCTGATTTCTATAGTTTTCTGTTGCTCGAGTGAACGCTTATTTTAAAATAATAAAGTGTATCTTTGAGTTTTCTGGCCTTTTATTGTTGAATTTGTCATGTGAGCTTTAATAATTTACTTTTTTTTTTCCTCTGAGATGGTCAATGATTTTCTTATATATAGATTTGTTCTTCTGTCTGTTTGTTTGTTTATTGTCTGGCCACCATAAACTCATTTAATGTAGTAGGTTTTGGGTGCTACATGGCAATAAATTTATTTCATTCATTCTATATCGATATCAGAGCATTGGAATGCAAAAATCATTCTGTTGAGGGGAGCTTACATTAGATTGAATGCTTTTCATTCATCTTATTTCCTTCTCCTTGCCTCTTTATCAGCAATTGCTTTGAATCATAAAATTGTGAAAGTCTGTCATACTTACCTTGTGAGATCAGTCTGTAAAGTCTGTCATACTTACCCTGTGAGATCAGTCTGTTTTCCTTCTCATGGCATATGAGTGCTGAATTTAAACCTTTTGCGGCTTATTTGTTGGTTTATTTGGGCACGTAGATCAAACAATAGAGGACATGGTTTTGTAGAAGCCATTTATTTTATAAGCTTGTACATGTATGGCTTATAGAAGCCATATGGAAAGTGCAAGAAAAAATGGTCTAAATCTATCAATTCTTGCTTCTTATTTTTTCTCATTTAAGAATCTTCCATGCTATTTTGATGCACATCAACATAGCAATAAGATCTGTTTGGACAATGGATCATGATCTATGGATCAAGTTGAATTTCCAGCGAGTTTGAATATTATACTTTTTTATTTCAAAACTTAATAAAGGGAAAAAAAAAACTTGTTTCAAGTGTTGTGCAACTAGAGAAAGCATGTGTTGGAAATTCTGGAAATTGTGTTGCCTGTGATACCATTGTAACGAGTAATGTGAAGAAAAGGGCACTATATTTCTTACGCAGTAGACATTATCACATCTTTTAGATGTCAAAACTTGTTGTTCCCTTTAAGACGAAGAACCTGGTGGCTCTCTTGCATTATTACTTTTCTTATGACATCTTTTGTTCATTGAATACTTGGCCTGCATGGCTTGGATATTGAATTTAATGCTTCTTTGAAGTAGTCCTGAAGCCCAATGAAAAACCCCAAAGTTTCTAGCTACCTTTCCTAACAGTTGATGAAACGATGCATTGTTAATATTCTGAAAGATATTTTAGTATTGTGACTCAAATTTTGATGTGTGGTAAAGCTCGAAGATCCAGGGAGGACATACAGGAAACAGAAATAGCAGCCTGTGTTACAGGATTTCAAAACGTGAAAATTTTGATAAATTGCCAATAATGTTGGCGCATATGATTAAGATTTAGAGTCTGAATATAAAGTTTTAAAGCTTCAAATTTCAAACCTCCAATTTTCGTGATTTGTAGGTTGAAAAAGTTTTAAAAGATTCATAAAATTTTTTGTGAGTTTTAACAACTTATCTTAACTTTGAAGATGTTATAATTTCCTCTGCTTCTAAGTTTGTTTCGACCAAAAAAAAGTTTTTTTGACAAATTGTTTTGTTTGCTTTGCCTCTTCTTCTCTTCTTTAATGTAGTAAGAGTAGTACAAGAGTGATTACTTGTTTCTAAATTTTTTTTACAAGGTGGGATCTTATCGAAAGGCAACACAAGCCTCTCGCCTGCTCCCTTCTCCTCCCTTTGTTCAGCCTTTTCAGCAACCCCAGTGGACCCACCGCCTCAGACGGTTGCACCTCCCCTTCCCGGCAACGCGTGCTTCCATGTCACTCAGCCTTTCACATTCCCATTTTTTTATTTCTTATTTTCTTAAATTGCATAATTCATTATCATATTCGCCCATACAGAAGAAAGATGAAAGCTCTATATCCATAAACCTGCAAATGCCATAATAAAAATTACTATTATTTTAAAGATTTATACAAGTACATTTAATGCGTAACATTTTTGTTTTTCAGAATCTGGGGGTCCACTTAAATTGTACCGTCTGATGTTTGATTGATATCCCAACAACCCTCTTGGCCAATTAACGGCTGTAATCATTATGTTGAGGTCTTCTTTGGTGTGGGAGTGACAGAATCCAATGATCCCTATATTTATATGCTACCACATTGTACAAAAAAAAATCCGTCATCTTTCAATGCCTCACCGATTCTTCTTCTAATATTAATAAAATAAAATAAATTCCAGATTTACCTTTGCATATATTTTTTTTATTTGGGATTTATAAATATATAATTCAAGAATCAAGATCTTTAAATTTCTGTTGTGTTGGATTCGAGATCATGTGATCAGTCTTCTAACTTTTGGGATAATTTTTAACAGATTTATATCATTTATAATTTTTTTACTATAATATTATAATTAATTAATCATAATAAAAAAATTATATAAAAATTCAACTTCATATAATATTTTTATGAATTTTACGTTATATTGAATTACGATAAATTAATTGTGCGTGATATACTTCGTTTTTAAGAGGGTACAGATACCACCTTTAAGCTCCTTCATGTCAGCATCAGTTTCCACTAACATGAAAATGCAATCTTTTAATTTTTTTACCTATAATTGAGAGACAAATGTTACTAGGGATATAGAATTCTTGGGTGCATAGCCAAGCTGTTCTTTTTTATGATTGTCTGGAGAAGTAGTAATGTTTGGCCCTTGTGATCCTCAAAAACGATTATAGAAATGTAGATATCCAGAATTAATTATATATATTGCACTGCTGGACCTGTCTGAGGCATCTTTTTCGAAAACTTGAATGGCATTGGCTAAGAGTCTGGGATTTGTTTGGCATGCTTCGAACCCCAGATGCACGAGCTATTAGGTTTCTGTGTGAAAGGGAGAATTAAATTCTTCTGCTTCAGTTTTTCTATTTTCTAATTTTTTATATAAATATATAGTTTATTTGAAACATCTCTACAGTATAAACTGATGGGTAATGTAAGGGCAAGGTCATGTTCTTTCTCTGTCAAACCAAGCTGTGGCTCAAGTTGAGGGTTGCTGTTTTGCCTTTTTCTCTTTTTCCTTGCAAAACACAGTTCACTTTTCTTTTGTTCTTCTTTTCTTCTCCAACTAGTTTGCAACACAAAGCTCAGGTCAGAATCTATATGCTCTTCACTTCTTTACCACCCTTTTTTCTTTTCTCATGCATGAATTCACCGCAAGAATAAGATAATAAAAGAGATAGTAAATCAGATACAGTTTGACTTTGATAGTAGAGAAAATTTGTTTAGATGTTCAATTGTAGTTGATGCATTTGGTTTCTTCTTCAATCTTTTGGAATCTCTAACAGGTTTATTCATCTCAAAAGAATTCTTTAAGAATTTCCCTTAACTTGATAATGATCCTATTATTACACATAATTACCAGCTTTCACATATTTGCATGAATTTTTTCTTCTTAAAGAACCAATTTTCTGATCTCCAATCTTAGTAATTAAGTCTTCATTTTTAGAACTTCTCATTTTAATTTGGATGCTTAATTAAATTAAATTTCATATATATATATATATATATATATATAGGATGTATTTAATTTCCTTTAAAGATCGTTACTTTCATGGATGCTAGTGTAGCTTGATATATGTGTCAGATATATATCAGATAGCTAGAATTCATCACTGAGCTGAACATTTGGCTTGAATAAATTTAAAACATGTTTATAACGCCATTAATGGCAAAAGAAACTGTGAAAAAAACCCAATTTCTAATTTCCTGTAGTGATATAATAATTAAAGCCCTTTGAAAGTAATCAAACTGTTGTTTTTCTGATAAGCAATATATGTAAGTATATTTCTTTGGTTAGGGATGTAAATGTATTTTTGGTTAGGATTTAAGATATATGCTTATATAAGGCCTTCTTATTTCTGTTCCATTTAGATGGAAGAAATTAATTACAGTGAAACATTATTATTGTTATGTTGTAAATGTGGTTATAAAAAGGCTAATTAGATGTGAATGATAAATTCAGAATGTTTACCAGAAAAGAAAAAAGAAACATTGAAATCAGAATGTTTGCCAAGAGGGGAAAAAGATGAATACTAACAGATTTTGAATTCATGGGTTTGTCGAACATGTGGGAAAGAGCATTGAAGCCACAAGTGATATATATGCACCATAGACAAAGCTGCCTAAATGGAAGATATTTTGTATGGAAGACTATCAGTGTGGCCCAAAAACATGTGAACAAACTGATAAATTATACTTAAAAGTAGTTGATGTTATTGGAAACATTAATGCCTTCATTCTCTTTTCTTTTGTGTATAAAAACAACCCATCACCTGTCGAGGATTTCTCAGCTTTTTTCCTAATCTTTGTTTTTTGTTTGGCAATTTTGCTCATTTTACAGGTGGAATAGTGAAAGTTGATTGAGCATCAGAGTGGATGTGTGATCTACTTTTTGAGCAAATTTCTTGGAAAGAAAGGGATCATATCCAAAATCAACTCTAGTTATCCTAGGTATTCTTTTTCTTGGGATGTTGTACAAGCAACATTAAACTCCAATGGAGAAGCTTCTTAGGCCGTATGAGAAGGAGTATATGAGGATGGCAATGTTAAAACATGAAGAAACATTCAAATAGCAGGTGTGCAATTATTATTTCTTATTTGTTTTCAGCCATATTTATCCGTTATAAGTGTAGAATTTGTTTGAAGCAATGTTTCAGGTCTAGGAGCTCCACCGTATATATCGAATCCAGAAGACATTGATGAAAAGCATTGAAAGCAGCAGGCCTAAAGGAACCTTTAGCTTGAAGAATAATCACCATGGGAATATGCAGCAGAATCCAAGAATGAGAATTGACTTGCAACGTCCGGCTGATCAGGAATACATTATTGCAGAATCCGATCATCATGGTAACAGAATGTTAGAAGTCATAGATGAGAGTGAGATTGAGCTGACTTTAGGGCCCACAAGGTACGTGCTGCCGAGGAAGGAACATGGGGTTCCTCTAACTTTGGATTCTGGACCAAGCTTCTCTTCTTCTGCCACTGAACCCACTCATATGAACAGAACAAGTAGTTCCAGGACCAAAGAGAAGACAAATATAACAAAAGTCGAATTCAGTGGCCTTGAGCTGGGACTTCTCCAGGTCACCGACATTACATTGGGGTACCAAAATGGAAGTAAAAACAATATTGATCTCGAAGAACAGTTGAGACAGGAGAGATTAAAAAAGCCTCCTTGGCTTTTCCAAGTTCTAAGGAATATGACTTGACATAAAAAAAAAAAAGAAAAAGAAAATATCTTCCAAGTCTATATGAATAGATTTAGACTGATTCTTGTTGACTAATTTTCTGTGATTGATGTTTGTGTGGAAGTTTCTGCCTAGTTCTTTTAACAAAATGGCTGGAGTCTTTTGTAAATATCACTTGTTTCCCTGACTCGCAAAACCCATTACTATACATATTTGACTTGATATTTTGTTGAGCTCAGTTTTGCAATCAGTCAATCCTTTTAAGTTCCACTTTGGAAGACTTGGTACAAGCACACCTTTATTGTTCTCTTGATCTGATCATCCTTTGCTATATAACAGGAATATTCACATCTGTAAAAGTTTTTCAAAGGGAATTTATGTTGAATGATAAAACATTTAAAAGTGCACGTTTGATCCCAAAAAGAAAATCTACAAAAACTTAGGAGACCAAGTGAATCTAAAAGGAGAATCAGGCCCATTTCATAATTCCTATGAGGTTGCTATGCTCTTGGAAACAGAGTTCCATTATTCCATACATGATTTCCCTGGCAATATATTTGCCACACTGCCATCAAGGATCAAAGGTCAACAGTAAATCAAATCATGACAGGGTTCTATGGTAATCAATTTAGAATGTACAAAGATTTCAAAAACTTTGATTATTTGAAAATTACTAATATATGGCACGTAGAAAATGAATATTGATAGAAAATAGTATTTTTATTTGCATTCATATGAGCTTAGAATATATATAATCATACCAACTAATCATAATTATTGAATGAGTAAAAAGTTGCAGCATATTCTTAAAATGAGAATAATAACATAAAACTGTGCCATGAGGTATCTATCTGTGGCTGTATACTCTCATCCTCTGTTACCTTTTATTGTTCTGGACTGAGTTCAGCGAGACCAATGAATTTTGAGACAGGTAGATTATGGTCAGATGCTATTTTGGCTAGGTAGCTCTCTATTAGCTTTCCCACCCTTTCCATGTCACTTGATGGAGGAGAAATGTACTCATATTCTTCTTTGTAGCCAAAATGGCTCCCCTCTGTTTCATATTCAAGGTAATTCATCATGATCCGCTTTACGTTGTCCACATCAAACAATG